TTGGAAATAAGTGTAGAGAATTCTCAAAAAATCTAAAATGAACATACTATATTACTCAGCAATACCACTCCTCACCACATAAATAAAGGACTCCATATCCAATTCCAGCCATGTTAACTGACCCTGTATTTGTACTAGGTAGGAAGTAGAGACAGCCTAAATGTCTTTCAAGCAATGATGTATAATGGAAATGCAGTACATATATACTATGGAATACTATTGTGGCAGAAGGGAAAACAAAACATATTGAAATAGACAACATATTAAAAGAGGTTACCTAGGTCCCGAAAGACAAATAATGTGTGTTCTCTCTTACTTGTTGTTCCTTGCTCTGAATCTTTAGATCTGAGTATGTTAGAGTAACTGCGGAAGCCAGAAAAATAATAAGGAACCATGGGGGAGCAGAACTCTAGAGAGAATAATAGAACAAAGATGCTATAAAGGGAAAAATGGGAAAAATCAGGAGGGAGACATTAACTAGAGGATGGGGAATAATAAGGCAATACACAGAGAAAAGGAGGAAGAAAAGGAGAAATAACACCAAAGATGTTCGAAACTGCCATTCAAAATTATATTATTCCATGTTTATTTAATATGACAGCATATGTTAATATATATTATATGTATGCATATATATATGTGTCTACATAGATATACATATAACATATCAATATATATGCCTATAGTATATTTTACATATTATTTAATATATTTTATATTATTTATATATTTATATAATATATATTAAATTGAGTTATATCATCTAGGATGATAATGCTTCTCCAAAAAGCCATACACTATCTAAAAAAAAAAAATCTCCATGCTAGTCTTTATTGGCAGGTCTAGGGCATCTGGCACCATCTTCTTGCCACGACAGGCACTGCGTGCATCTGCTGCACTTACTTACAGGCAAAACACTTAGACATGTAAAATAAAATAAACGATTCTAATTTTTAAAAAAAGTGCCAGGCTTGGGAAACCTAATTTTAAGTGATTGGTCTGGGAAGTCCAAGAAACTCCCAAGCCCTATAGGCTGCTGTCATTGCCCTTGGTTTCAGTGGCTTCCCAGAACTAGAAGGTGATGCTCTATTGCTAAGCACTACACACTTAGGCACTTATGACAAAGACCTCACAGAACTGAGCTGGATCTGACCTAAAATCATCTTCCTAGAGGCCTCCCTCTCATCCTACCGGAAGGAGGTAGGAGAGCTGCCAAAGAAGAAAAGCCACCAATAGTTCTGCCCAGCTGTAATGCTTACCAACCACAATGACCAGAACAACAAGATAGCTCCAAAGGTGCAACCGTGGCATTCATGTCCCAGGGTGTAACCAACAGATTATCTAATTGGAATGTATGTCCCCACAAAAGGAAGGACTTCATAGTCTGCTAGTGCAAAAAAGAAAAAAAAATTATTCCAATGGCTGATGAGATGCCATAGACCCTAGGTCCTGCCACTTTCCTAAAACAGTAACATTTCAAACTGTACTCAATATCTATTCTTATGCACACAGAGAAAAGCATCTCTCATCCCTTATCAAAGAAGTTAGTTTTTGTAGCGGATGGAGACCATTACATATGATGTATGATATCATACAAACATGTTTTCATTGTACTGTATGATATATCATCATACTGTAAGATATCAAAATGTAGAGAAAACTGACCATGGGTACCCAACCATAATGGGTGATCTGTAGCTCAACTTTACACCTAATATTTAGGGGTCATGATGAGGAAGGCCCAGAAAAATTGTAAGAGCCAGGGACCAGGTCGACTCCTATAATAGAGTGTTTTCTTATATTTCCGGGAGGCTGAACCCAAGACATTATCAATATGGTAGGATAAACAAGACCAGCACAATGCCAATACCAGTTGGCATGCCATTGTGGATAGGAAAATATCACAATGCCCCATCTCTAAAGCAAAAGCTACAGGCATTTAATGGCTGCTGGGAGAGCGAGAATTAATCTTCCCCAGGGACAAGCCTCCTTCTAACAGGTTATCTAATCTCAAGAGATCAGCCCTAAGCACACATCCATAGGAGCAATAATAAAGGAACTCAGTAGGTTGTATTTAAAATTTAATGTGTATAGACTTATAACAATTAAATATTGGCAGCCATAAATGTAAAGGGGAATTGGAGGAAATGCAGGGAGAGTGAGGGAGGGAAATGATGTAAGTACGATACTCATATGGGAAATTCTAAAAATAAAAGAAGAAACTCTCCAACAAATAAATTAATTCTTTTTTTTAAATTCAGCATTAGACGTATTTTCAAGAACTGGGAAGCATGTAGCCAGATTATTTTGCCAGGTTATAGTCTGAATGGCCTTTAGCCCAAGTGTTTTCTAGAATTTGCATTGCCCTCGGCATCATTACGAGCTAAGCCTCCACTGTGTGTACTTCCTTCAACATTCTTGTCCTCCAAGCTCCCACCATTAACTTCTGCTTTCAGCATACAGGAGGTAAGCCTAAAGTTCCAAACTCTTCCATCTTCCTCCTGCAAACCAATCCCAAAGCCCTTAGATCAGGTTTATCACAACATCAACCTCACTTTTGCTACCAATTTTCTGTTAACCACCAGTTTCATTGCTACAGTAAAAATACTAGACTGGAGTAGCAAGGATGAAAGAGATGATTCGGTTTGCAATTTGAGGGTGCAGATCATTTTCAGGAGAATGTGATAGTGGGCATGAGCTCCAGGCAGCTGGTCCCACTGACTCTGCAACGAGGAAGCAGACAGAGGTGAATGAGTGTGCTCAATTGATTTTCTTCCATACATGGAATGGTACCACCCACAGTTAAGAATGGGTTTTTCTTTTTCTTTTTGTGGGGAGGGGTGGTTATTTGAGACAGGGTTTCTCTGTGTAGCCTTGGTTCTTCTGGACTCACTTTGTAGACAAGGTTGGCCTCGAACTCACAGAGATCCGCCTGCCTCAGCCCTCCCATCCCCCCCCCCCAGAATTTTGGGATTACAGGCATGTGCCACCACACCTGGCTAAGAAAGGGTTTTTCTTTATTAATTGAGTCTAGATAATATCTCATAGGCATCCTCAGGGGATTGTCTCCCATGTGATTCTGAAGAGTTTCAAATTGGCAAACAGTATTAAACATAAAATCATAAAACAGATGAAAGTATAAATAAATCACCTAGTGTTTCAAGGAGGAAAACTCATATTTACTGAAGAGACTTTAGGGTTTTCTGGAAGGTTCAGTGTCCCCTGTCACTCACAGATGATCAGGAGACCTTCAAGAGGTGGGGGGATGAGAGGAGATGTCTTGGATGCTAATAGATATGTCAGTTTGGTGGGGAAGGTCATCAGAATGGAGAGGATAGTATGTTTTTTTTTTTCTTGTTTACAACATATAGGCTTCAAGGATGGCAGTAAGAAATGAGAAGTGGTGGGTTTTAGAATAAAGACAGAACGTGGGGAAAGATGGAGACCCTGCAAATAAACAGCATGCAAAACTCCGGTGCATGGGGCAATGCATAGAAACCTGGAAGAGGCCTAAGGAGTACTGACTGCTCATTTCACCTACCTCATACTTTGGCTAAGAAAGGGGTCTAATCAAATTTGTTTGGATGTAAGTTCCGTGTCTCCACTTGCCAGTATAGAGAGCCAAAGACAAGTTAGGCTCTTCTTGAAGATGTGTATTCTCCCCCAAAGAATACTTTAGAGAAAGCAGTCTGAGAAATACTTGTTCATTAGATATTTTCTGGCAGCAGCCAGCATATATTAAGCACATGATAAGCACATAATAAACTTGATTCTTGGAACATTAGTGGTTTGATTGTTTTGTTATTAACTGTCATTATTAAGTGCCCATTGCTTTTTCTAGCAAAACATGTCATAATCACCCAAAAGATATAACAGTCATTGTAAGATTTCATGTTGAAAAATGTTAGCTTCTCGATTAAGCTTATGACTATAAATAGATCAGGTTTGGTCCACTCACACACACATGCTCAGGATTTTTTGCTCTAAAGAAGGTAAGTGCTCTCCAGTGTCTTGCCTGATTCAAGAACATCCTTAATCTTGTAAGCTCTATGGCACTCTTCTGAAATCTATTCCTGATACATTCCACATGGAACCACACTGCCTCTGAAAGAGAAGCCTTCCTGCTACATCAGAGGAATTTATACAGATGGTAAAATAACAGACAACTGAAGTGTTTCAGGAGCCATGATATTTCTACCATTCTCTAGTCTTGCAAGTGGTAAGGCTGCTTTCTCCAAATGAAATCCCATACTTTTTAGGTGAGAGGCGGAGGCCATTTATAGAGTGTCTTGTGCACAGAGAGCATGCCTACATTAAATTAATCAGTTGTTGGCTGCCTATGCTGGCTGTAAAGTCACCCTGACCTTGGCTGTTTTAACAACAGATGGGTTCGCTTACAACACACATCATCATCCAAACTCAGTGCCTGGTTATCTTCAGGTTCCAAATCTGTCGTGGGAACACCAAATGTCATAGGCATGCATCTGCTAGGGGTAGAGTCAAAGGGAACTGGAAATTGAGGGGTCCCGGCAGTGTGCTAGGAACTTACTGCAACAACCCACAAGGCGCATGCCTGCTGTTTTCCAGCTTAGAACAAGCTGCCAACTTCAACCCAGTTAAGTTTACCACAAGCTTGACAGGTGGATTCAAAACCTGAGAAGGAATGAGATTGGGCTTCTCGGGAGAGGCTGAGTAGTAGCTGCTTTACTGTAGCAGTACAGAAAGCAAAATCAAACAGTGTTTCTCTTTAAGAGACTGTGCTGGGCTGCAATGCATGGGCTTTCTTACTAGATTACCTCAGCTTTATTATACAAAATAGCAATGTTGGACTCTGAATGGGGAGACGTATTAAGTGCTTATCACATACCTGATTTTCCCATTCTATTAATTTTAATTGATGTACCCTTTTTAGTGTAATTCAATTTCAGCATTGTGTGTGTGTGTGTTGTAAGGTAGAAGGGAGGGCCGTTTACTGCTTTGTGGTTTTGTTCCTGTGGGCTGACGTGGCCTTTGAAAGTGGCTTTTGTGTGCAGCCGGGAGACCTGGTTTCAGATGCCAGCCGGTGCATCTTCAGGCTCATTAATAATGGAGGCGTCTGACAGGAGCAGCTTTCGCTTGCTTTGTTTCCACTGTAGATGAAAGGGGACATGGATCTTTCTGTTTTGCCCAATAACAACCATCCTGACAAATTCCTGCAGCTTGACGTGAAGTCTTTAATGAGGAGCTCAACCCTTCTGCAGGCTAGCCTCGCGAGATTTCCGGGTGGAAATTATCCTGCTACACAACACTGGCAAAACCTTGTCTACTCACAGGTAGGATCTAATGGCATATAAATATAGGGTGGGAGCTTGTTTCTTTCTCACTATGTGACATTTTCTTATTCGTGTGAAGAAGTAGGCTTGGGGTGGGAGATACAGAGAAGCTGTTTATTCCTCCCCCGCCTTCCTGTAAGCTCTGCGTATGTTGTGCAAATTCTCCTACCTGCACACTCCCTTCCAATCCCTGACTTCTCTGCCTGCCTTTGTTTCAGTATTGTGTAGGTCTCATTTACTCCTTCCTTTCAGAACATTTCAAACCAACTGTAACGTTTTCAAATAAGCTTAAAGGGAAGAAATACTTAACCTCTGCCAGTGTAATCTATGCATAAAACATGTTTACTGAGCAAGGCTCTGAAAGAGCCTGAGGCTTGCTTTTGCTCCTTTTAGACTCCCCTTCCTTTGATAGAGAAGCTCAGAGGATACCGAGGAGTGACTGGCCACTTTCCCCCTTGGAAAGTGATGGCTCTCAGCTCAGCTGCAGGTCTTCCACAGGTGTCTGTCTGCGTAGGCCAGCCATAGGAAGAAGGCCTTCCAATCCAAGGCAGAGCTTATTGCTCTTGATCTTTCACAAAAGAATCAAGCTGATGAATTCCATCTGCTGAGACCAACACAAACGCCCCTGCTGAGGCACAGCTAATCAAACAGGGATAATCTTGTTTTAAGATGTGAAGGCTAATGGCGTTGAGGGTGACTCCATGTAGAAAGAGGAAAAGGCAGTTTGTTTCAGAGCTGATGTAAACTGACCTACAAGCCCCTGTAAGTCATTAAGTCCTTTGGAGTTTTCAAATTCCCTCGATAGAAATTTGTTTGCTTTTAAGAACAGTTGCTCCTCATGAATCCTAGTGTACAGTGACTGGCTTGTGGTGTGTTTGTAGCCTCTTTGGGACCTATGTCATGAGTTCATTCAGAGTCATATACACTTGAGTGATTATGTAAGTTGCCTCTGCCCTGTAAAGGGTTCAACTTATTTCCATTATAAGTCATCACCCTGTTATGACAACTGATTTTTTTTTTTTTTAACATTGCATCCATGTTTTGTAATCCTCAAGGCCTTGTGGCTTTCTAAACAAACCCGCTTATCATTGTTTGGTGTTTTTCTTGGTTAAAGGAAATAAAGGTCCTCCTTTACCTCACTGTTCATGTCACAGAACAACATTATTAAAAATGATCTCAGAATATCTTGCCCCTCCCCTTCATCCTGTCGATGAAGTACATCGTAGGGTCACATAGTGAGAAGATTGGAGGAGGTAGAGGTATGACACAGAAATCTTATAGCATCTTTTGTTTAGGGGCTGTGGTTGGTTGACATACTGTCTCCATTTGGAATTCCACAATTAAAACTCAAACCATAAGGAAATGCAAATTTCCAACAGGCAACTTTTTATACAGGTCCTTTTGGGCCTAAATATTATTCAAGGAACAAAGATGTATATTTCTGATCTTTGATGAATCTCAAATAAATTACCTTTTTACCCCAAAAGAGAATGACAAGTAATTTAGTGAGGATCAGTTTCCTTCTGAAGTAATGGATGGTGGGGAGTCATGGAAGACAAGTGCAAAACAGGAAATTAGGTAGGTGTGGCTCAAACTACTAGTTAGCACATATGATCATCACAATTGGCTCGAGTGGATCTCAAAATCAAGAACTGACTTATTTAGTAAGAAGTTAGTAAATATAAAATGGGAACATGAATTTTTGAAATAGAATCATGCTTAAATTTTTTTTTTCTTCCTCAACCAGGCGTGGTGGAGCATGCCTTTATCTACCAGTGCCCAGGCATGCGGGTGGACACATACATGCAGAATAAAACATAGTTTTAAATTAAGTGATACAATGTTTAAAGCCATCATAGCGGGAATTGACTTTTCTAGTGAGCAGAGGACTCAAAGGGATTTTCTTTTGTTTTTGTTTTCTATTTCTGACTTCTTTCACATTGGTTTCAGAACCCTGGGAATTCTCAGAGGAAATCTGTGAGCTGGAGTGGAAAGCCAGTGGTGAGAAGTGGGTATCCCTATTTCCAGACAGGCTTTTTCTCTGGTTTCATGTCCTGACTTCATTCATCATTGCTTTTCTGTCCTACACTACTGTTCTCCTTAAATACCGACATTCCGTAGGTGTTTCTGCGAGGTTTCATTTATGTTCAAGCATTTGTATGTGTGTATGTTTATTCTGTGTATTGTGTGGCTATATGTACATGTGTATATGAGCTTATGTTTGCATATGTCTGTGCATGTGTATCTATGTATTTGTGTGTGTACATGTGTGTATGTGTCTATATGTATTTGTGTGTGTGTTTGTATGTGAGTGTGTGTATGCATGCATTTGTGCTTCGGCCTAGCATTTTGTAACACCACATTTTACTTTCACTGTGTCATAAGTTAAAACATTTCCATTGCTTGTCATTTAAAATGTAGTTGTAATGTTTACAAGATTTGGATTGAGGATATGTTTTTGTTGATTTCTAGGTTATTAACTATGTTGTTCGTATATTTTGAAATCTATCACACTATCAATGTTTCTAAAATACAAAATGTAGTATTTCCAACTATTAATGTCCATTGATTGGGTTTGTTAATTTTATTGTTTGTCTTTATCCTTAGGAATCTTTTGTATAGATATATGCAGTTTTAATGATTAACTTTCATTGTTACAATATTTTATAACATACATAACATTTTAGAGTTATTATACTCTGCCAATGATGTTACTTTTACTCAAAACCTTTGTACTAACAGCTTCTTGCTTTAAGTCTATTTCGCTTGACACTTGAAGTGTATCATGATATTCTGTTTTCTGTACCAGTTACCTGTATCATGTTGTAGGAACAAGCACACCCAAATCTAGTAATGCAATAGGGTCTATTTCACATCTGCGCCCCTGAGATGTCAGTGCCGCACACATTCTGAGAGGCTTACCTAAGGGCATAATTTACGTTTGTTTTTTTTTTCCCCCTGGATGTCCTTTCTACAATATAAGAATCTGCATTATGCCTGCAGAGCAAGAAGACAGAGAGGAAGACACACACACTGTTGGGGAGGTTAGTAATCAAGCTTGACTTTCAACGCAACTGTTGTGTGTCACTGAAGAGGAGATGGTTTTTGTGCGTGTCTGGCCAGGCACCACCTCATTCCCACTGTTTGAAATAGATAGATGCCATCGTTAAGATCCTTCAAATATATTATGTGTAATCTAGCATATGTGTGTGTATACGCACAGATTGTATCTTCTTAAACCTCTCACAGAACTGACAACTGAGATGGTCTATCAGCTAGATTCTGCCTCAGCACCACCCTTAGCAAGAGCTCCTGCGAGCCATCCTACAAACTTCCCTGTAAAGAAACAGGGTTGCTACACTACTTCTTTCTTTGTAAGCAGTAGAGAAGTCACTCTTCCCAAGTCCTTCTGGAGTCTCTCTGGAAGCACTTCCCTGGAGGTGAGGCAGGGTCACCTCTCTGTCTGCTCCCTTTCAGAACACCCTGGTCTCATTCTGAACAGCCTCATGCTCCTGGGAAGGTCTCAGAGCTCACTTCTACTCGTTTTCATGGGAATTTAGAGATCTGGGCTTATTATTGTTTTCTCAATTTTTGGTCTGTTGTTTTTGTAGTTATTCTCTGTTTTTATGTCTAAATGAGTAGAGATGCAGATGGTGGTATTTGCCAGGAGTTCCCGAGTAATTTTTTTTAAAGACTCGGGTTATCATCTTGTAGTGTCTTCAGCAATTTATTTAACTATTCATTAATATAGGTCTTTTTATGTAGTCTCCAGTGGTTCTTACAGATATAAAAGACTGCTAAAAGTCTTTTAAAGGCACGGGTCTCAAACTGGCCTTTGGAGCTTGGCTTCCTGTATTCATTCCTCTAGTTTCTGGCTTAATGACCACCAACCCTGAGGCTTATAATCCATGCCTTCAGTATCATCTTTGCCTTCACTTACTGCATATAGCTGGGACATTTCCCTCATCTTTGTATTTTTTGTTTGTTAGTAAGTAATTTTACATTTCATTGTTTGGGGCCTACCGCTGTTACACTAGGAAGCACCAGGCTTCTGGACCCTCTTTGCACACTTGGAATCATCCTGTTGAATTCCCCAACTCTCGTCATATACAAATGTTCTGATTGGTTATATATGACTCTATATATTTCTCAGATTTGCCACAAGTAACTACTAAAGTTAGTAATGACTGTCTCCAAGCTTACCATATTAAGATTTATAGCAAATGACTTTTGCTGTAGAACGTGAATAACTAACTATCTTCAAGCTTCCATTTGCAGGAGATAGGGATATGGCTCAGATGGTGAAATGATCCCCTATGAAAGTTTGATGCTCTGAATTTAGCTCTTTGATGTTCACATGAAAAGCTGGGCCTAGGGCCACGTTTCTGTAATTCCAGTGCTAGGGTGAGGTGGTGTTGGGACAGATGGACCCCCGGAGCTCACACTCAGCCAGTCCAGCTGAGTTCCAAGCTCAAGAAAAGACCTTGTCTCAAAGATAACTAAAAAAATAAATACATAAAGCATAAATACAAAAGTAAATAAGGAGTAGAGTGATTAAGGAAGACATCTAGTGTCAGCCTCTGTTGTCCACTCATGCACACGTGTGCCCTTGCATGTATCCACACAAGCACTGCACACAGAGAATCATGTGCGTACCCTGAACACGTACAAAGCCAGCCAGAGTAAAGCTGTTAGTATTTCTTCCTGGTTCTGGAGTGCCACAGCGGTGGGATGCAGATGCCACTTTCCAGCAAGTCTCCAGTGCTGGACACTTGTCTCCGCTGTGACAAGTGGCAAAGTACCAGGCAGTATAAGCAGTCCTTCTTGATTACGAGAAGCCTGAGGAACAGCAGGTGGCCTGGGCGTAGGCCCCTCTCTTTTCCAAGTAGTGACCATGTTTTTGAGTTGCTTATTTTATGGTCCTGCCATCTCAGATCCCTGTCTACAGTATCAAACGACAACAACAACAGAAAGGGGCAGAGATCATGTGGAAACGTTTGGAAACAGAGTGGACATGTCCTCAAGTCACTTCTGCTGCTCTTTCTTGGCTTTGCAAAGCCTGACCTCAAAACTAATTTCAGGGCAACTAAAGAAGCCAGACACTGCACTCAACTGAGGAAACAAAATGGGTTGCATTCAGCCAGTCGCCATGCCCAGGCCTTGGTGTTCATACATGCCTGCCGTATTGTACGTTCTTTTCTACTTTCATGCTTCCTGAGTCCTTAAAATTGAATCTAGGTACGAATGGTTAAGTTTGCATCTTAAAATCTGATTTGCCAGTCTTTGTCACTTCAATATCGAGTTGAGCCTGCTTCTATTTCCCACATGTGACTTTTCCTTTATATGCTTTTGAGATAGCCTTCATTTATACCCAAACCACTTAGAGATCTACCAGCTTGCCTTTATCATCTTTACCGCTCTAGTAATTTGGAGATAAACAGTCTTTCTTCAGTTTGAACAACAACTTTATCCTTTCCCTCCAATTAGTTCTTAGTTTCTTAATTAACAATACCCGTTAAACTTATTACCATCTAATTCTTTAGTTCATTTTAAAACTCAAATCATCATATTATTTCCATCTTAGCAATTTCTATTTATTTTTCAGCATTCCTTTGTCTTCATCTCCCTGACTATTGATTTATATTTTTAGAGTTTCTTGTTTTAATAGCCGAATAGCTGCTAACCTTTAGATTTTGTTTGCCTGAGTAATGTCTTCCAGCTCTTTTATTAAGTGATATTTTACTTGCACATTGAAGTATTAGGATTAAAATGGATAAAAATAAATGGGCAAAGTTTGGCTTAATAGTGAAAGTCTAGCTAAACTTTGAAGTGTTACTTCCTTAAATAAATATTTTAAATGGAATTTATTTTACAGTTCAGTTGATTAAAATCATACAAATGCTACTGAATTTTCTACTTAGTAGTTTCCCTAAGACGTAGCATGGAAAGTTGGGCTTGCATATATGTTCCTTATTTTCTTAAATCTATTTGGGAAAAAATAGCAAAATACAAATCAACCACAACAAATTTTTTTTTTTTTTTTGCAAACTGCTATTTAAACCTGGAGATTCACTCTTGTTAGGTATGCACTCCACCACTGAACTATATCTCCAACCCCAAAACTAGTATTTATTTTTATATTACCATTAAATAATAATTGCTATTTATTTGGCTGTCTTGGGATCTTCAGTAATCTAAGCGTGTATTCAGTCTTTGAGCCACGTCCCAGTAATTCCATCAAATTATTTTTGAGTAATTTATTAATGTATAAATTATAAGAAAATAATTGTTTTTTTTTTCAGATTAGCAATAAATCTTAATATTAAGGTTTTTTTTTTTTTTTGGTGTGTCCTTCAGAGGTAAGAATGATAAATAAGGCTTAAATTCTACCTTAGAATCTACTTCTGACTGTTTGATACCATCATACATTAATTCTTCTAAATCTGTATATGTTTTATAGTTTATATATACTTTTTTTTAGCCACACATTTTATTTCACTCGTTTATCAAACCTCTTATTTACATTCCAGGAGCAGGAAAGGAACCTAACAAAGAAAATTTGTACATATCAGAGGATTTAGCCTGCTCCAAACATGATCAAAGCTACCCAGACTTGAAGAAAACAATAGCATTTTACTTATGCTGAGCCCAAACAACCTTAATTTCTTGTAAAATTGTTTTTATTTGATTTAGAACAACACTTATAAAGCTACTTTACGCTTAATGCTTAAAGATAAATGCTTAATGATAAAGTTCATCATTTTATTATATGACATAGCATCATAGTCTATAAATTGACTGTCTCTAAAGTGAACTCTATGTGAAAAGTGCATTTATTAAAATTTCAAGGAAGGAGAGCTGACTCACTTGCTGCTCTTTCTGTGGACCCAGGTTTGATTCCCAGCATCCACAGTATCTTTAACTCAAGTTTCAAGGGATCTGTATCTTCTCTGGTCTTGGAGAGTACCTGGCCTGCACTTGATATACATACATACATGCAGTAAAACACTAATACATGTAAAGTGAATAAATATTTTTTTCAAAGTCATAGAAACCCAATGCCCAGGATAACACAAATGGTTTTATCTATATTATTTCCCCCTTTACTTACCAGTTATTTCAAAAGGCCAGGCCATATCAAGCAAGTCTACAATTTTAGTTTATATAACTACATATTTAATGTAACCTTTATGTTCTAAGAAATGCTGAGGTCATCGGAATATGACCTGAGGTAGTTTTACACACAACTCAAAAGGAGATGATTCTTATTGGTATATTTCCAATGTTCTTAGGTTCAGTCACCAGTGTTTTACACATACACACACACACAATTGAAAATTTGTGGGGAAAGCATATATATTTGTCATGTGTGTTCCTTTCTATGTCTATACTATGTTCCAATATCAATTTTTTTTAAATTTTATTTTATTAATACTTTATTCACTTTGTATCCCCCCATAAGTCCCTCCCTCCTCCCCTCCCGGTCTCACCCTCCCTCCCCCTTCTTCACACATGCCTCTGCCCAAGTCCACTGATAAAGGAGGTTCTCCTCTCCTTCCTTCTGATCTTAGTCTATCAGATCACATCAGGCGTGGCTGCATTGTCATCTTCTGTGTCCTGGTAAGGCTGTTCCATCCTCAGGGGGAGGTGATCAAAGAGCAGGCCAATCAGATTATGTCAGAGACAGTCCCTCTTCCCATTACTATGGAACCCACTTGGACACTAAACTGCCATGGGCTACATCTGTGCAGGGGTTCTAGGTTATCTCCATGCCTGGTACTTGGTTGGAGTATGAGTCTCTGGGAAGACCCCTGTGTTCAAATTTTCAAAGCGCATGGAATCTTATGTAAGAAGTGGGAAATAGTAAGATCTGGAGAGGACAGAAACCCCATGAGGAGAGCAACAGAACCAGAAAATTTGAACACAGGGGTCTTCCTAGTGACTCAATATCAAATTTTTAAATTTCTGAAGGTGAAGAATTAATTTCTCTAGCAGACAGCTGGTCAGCAGACGCCTATAGGTGAATGGTATTAAATTGACTCTGTTGCTCTATGGCTTTTCCTGAAGCCAGGAAGATGGGATCAAATGTCGTTCCACCTCAGGTAGGCTACTGATAACCCACCAAAGAAATGATTCCACCTAAGTCTAGCTTGGGTTAACAATAAGTTTATTACAGCAATCTACGGGAACATGGGGGACTCACAGGCGACTGTAGCACCAAAATGCCCAAATCAGCAAGGGTGAGGAATCACAAAACTTGGAACCCTGCATGGCCCTACTTATGCCAGCCTACAGGCAGCTCCACTGAAAAGTGTTTGTGTGTGCACGTGCGTGTGTGTTCATACACATATGTGTTCTTTCCAGGACATGTGTATGCAGAGGACATAAACAAGGTATTACAGCTTGTGGATCCCATTCTCTTGTGCTGTGAGGGTCCAGAGATCAAATCGAGGCTGGCAAGTTAGCAGGAATCACCTTTATCCGCAGAGCCAACTTGCGGTCCTAGAAAATGTTTTTAATCTTAATTTTTTGGCTTCAAACAATAATATTAAGTATTACTTTTATGAATCTTGAAATACATTAAAAGACATAAAATACCATTAAACTCTAACTCAGATGAGCTGGAAAACTGTGTTTCTTCAGAAAGTAGATGAATTGCAGAATATAATTCTGTCTTTGTAACTGGAAAGTATTATTGAAATGGATATTAAACTGAACAACAAAACATACAAAGAGAGAACTCAGTTAATGGAAGGATCGTAGATCAAAGTAGATCCCAGAGTTATTTCATAATTCATTGCCTAATCTGTTGGGTATGAGATAGAATCAACAAATTTGCAGATACAGATTTCTGTGATTTGGGCTCCTCTGCCACCAGCACGCCCAGCTTATAATAGAAGCCTTGTTTTCTAATCTCCCAACAGAGGGAAAATAACGCTGCTACTCAACGAACTAAGGGATTTATCGGGGAGAGCCCAGTCCTTCCTGACAGCCCTCCACCATCCGTGTCTCCAGTTATGAAGAATAACCCATTATATGGTGACGTAAGTTTGGAGGAAGCTATGGAGGAAAGAAAAAAGAATCCTTCATGGACTATTGAAGAGTATGATAAGCATTCTGTGCACACAAATCTCTCCGGACATCTGAAGGTGTGTATTGTAAGAATGATCTTAATTTGATAACAGATCAGCTAAGTGATCCTGAAAAGGTGTTGTAGGCATGACAGGAGTTCTTCACTGAACACAAACTCTCCAGACCACAGGTCCTCTTGGTCCTTGGGATCATTTCTCTTCCCCAGCCACTGGGTGGGGTTATTTATTTGTTTTGTGTTTTGCACAACCAATGGCATCTGTGTAATGTAGAGAGAGGAAAGGAGGAGCAGTAATGAATGAAGGTCTCCTCGGAAGATGAAAGGCAGTATTTTTGTTGTTTTGGTTTTGTTTTTAATTAAATTTTAAGGTCACACATGTTTGCCCTAGTTTGTAATCTTGTAATTGTCTATGCTCAAGAACACGTAGGGATACATTTTTCACTGTACATTTTTTTTCAAAGCTACTTATGAAGTGATAGGACTTAGTTTGGCACTGTGCAGGGAAGCCCTTACCAGTAATCACAGTGATCGTTTTTTAACATTCCAAGCCCACCAAATGATTTAAGATGGCAGGTTTACATTTTGCTCATTTTTCTTGTGTGTCAAAACAAAACATTTCAACAAGGAAAGGTATGCAATGAACTCAGTCACCCAGCTTATGATTTTTCTTCCCCCTACCTTTTCTTTTCTTCCTCTGATGTCAGCCACACACAGAAGACCCAAATACCTGAAAACCAAAGTGGTCCCTGTGTTGTCTAAAAGAACCAGATTCCTGACACGCCTTGGCTTGCTTCCACCTGCCTTAGGCCAGAAAAGCCTGACATTTCCCAAGTACCCTTCATTTAAAAATGTGTGTCTGGTCCAAGTTTACACCTTAGCCACCTGAAGTGAACCACAATTTTTCTTTTTTTGAAGAGGGCAGTACCATAGATGTTCATGTTGTGCACACAAGTTTTAAGCCTTGAGTGTACATTCCTTGAAATCTATTACGTCTAGAATCCCTGACAGCTCTTAATCTCCTACCTTGAACGTACCTCCTCTTTGGTGCCTTTCTGAGAAATTTCCAAAGGACAACAACAGTGCATTTCTTTTTCTCGTCTTTGTTTTTGTTTAATCTCATGTTTCTTACTAAAGACTTCATAGCATTAAGTCTGTTATGGGGGGGGGTGCACTGATTTATTTCACGAAAAGTCACTTACTGCTGGGCACCATCTAAGGCCTGTTGTCTTGTCTTTGCTGTGTGTATATGTGACAAGGGGGCTGTGGAGACAGATGCTTTTTCCCTGCCTGCACACAAATCCATCTAAATGAGTAAATAGAAATAGTTCACCGGATTCAAAGACTGTGATTTTCATATGCCAATTCCAAAAATCAATTTTTTTCTTTTTGTTGTTTGTTCGTAAGTTTACATCTCCCGCTTAGAAAATTGAAGATGATTGGTAACTAATTTTTTTAAGTTAAATCTACAAGATCACACATAAATATAATGGATGTGCTGTGTTGCTGACACCACCAGTCCCCTCTGTAGTCTGTGCATACACACACTTCTCAAAGAAACCCTCAGGCTGCTCTGTGTACTGGCTTCACTATGGCTTCCTCAGTGTTAACTCCCACAAGAATCTGGGATTCTGGGAATATTCTGCTGTCATTAGAACAGCATATTATGAAACTCCATATTATATTTCATGACGTTGGCACTTGTGTCCTTTTCTCATAAATAGCAGGTGGAGCTTCTCGTTTAAGCTTTTAACGTTTTTAACTTCTATTTTTACTTCACTTGTCTGGGTGTTTTGCCCGTGTGTGTGTCTGTGCATCTCATGCATGCAGTGCCCTAGGCCACAAGAAGATATCATGGGTTACAGAGGACCATGAATGTAAATGGCTGTGTGGGTACAAGGAATCTAATCCAGGTCTTCTGGTAGAGAAGCCATCTCTCTTAACTGATGAGTCATCTCTTCAGGCCCATGATTTTTGTAATCTTGATACCAGCTATAGACTATAAAGGTTCCAAGTGCCTCGGTGTATCACCATTTTTCTAAATTGCTGAGAGTAATTAAGTCAGAAAAGATAAAAGAAACAATACACTTAATTACCAATGCATGCCAAAGTGAGGATTTAAGAGGGGATTGTCCCCATTAGGGAAGCCATTGGTGAAAAGAAAAATTAAAGAATTGAAGCTGCAAAATGGATGTCTGTGGTTAGGACACGAACAAGATTAAAAACAAAACTAAACAAAAAACAAGGGGATGCAGATAAGGGTCCTAAATCGGCAGTATTCTACTGCACAGGTCTTCCAAATTCAATTGTAATTCTTAAGCACTTCTAAGGACGTGGTTTAAACCCACTTACACCTTCATTTTGGAGAATCACAATTGCCAAATACATCTCAGCTCCTAACAGGTGTATATATGCTTCTCCTAGCACTAAAATCCTAACTCTGAAGCTAGTTCAAAGCCCCTAGAGGCTGCCAGCCACAGGAAACTGGTTTTTGTGACACCATTAGATAATATAAATCCAGTGAAAGCATTGAAGGTGACAGCCTGTTAAAGATCCTTCAGACTTCAATCCTCGTTTAGAAAGTCAGATGGGATGTGCATTGAACGTATGACAGGAGTCTACTGAGTGCATTTGAAAGACTCTAACTAGCATTGTTTTCAAAGCAAAGACTCATGACCAAACCTTTGGCAGAGTACAGGGAATCATAAGAAAGAAGGGGAGTTAGTCTGATGGGGAAAGGATAGGAGCTCCACAAGGACCAAAGATATCTGGGCACAGGGTCTTTTCTGAGACTGACATTCAACCAAGGACCATGTATGGATATAACCTACAACCTCTGCTCAGCTGTAGCCTGTGGTAGCTCAGTAACCAATTGGTTTCCCATAGTGAGGGGAACAAGGACTATTTCTAACAGGAACTCAATGACTGGCTCTTTGGCCTCCCCACCCCCCAAGGGAGGAGCAGTCCTGTTAGGCCACAGAGGAGAGCTTTGCAGCCAGTCCTGAAGATACCTGATAAAACAGGATCAGATGAATGGGGAAGAGGTCCCCCCTATCAGTGGACTTGGAAAGGGGCACGGTGGAGATGAGGGAGGGAGGGAGGGAGGGACTGGGAGGGAATGAGGGATCGGGACACGGCTGGGATACAGAGTTAATAAAATGTAACTGATAAGAAATAAATAAATAAATAAATAAATAAATAAATAGATAGATAGATAAATAAATAAATAAATAAAAACCCTATCTCAGATATTAAAAAAAAAAATCCTTCAGACTATCTAGGCAAGAAAAATCAAGGCCTACAGATGTTATGTGAAAGCAAGCACTCATTCAACCATCTTTGTAAACTTAATGTATGAGACTGCATGCCCTGCCAAGACACAAAGACACAGGGCCTATGCACTAAACCTAGAGATTAGAGGAACAATTATATATATATTTTAAAAAAGCATATGGAATTGTAGAATATATTTGAGACTTATTTGGTACTTGAGAGCAGGCTGACTTAGAGAGATTCTCTGGCACCTTAAAGAAGATGGATCCAATGAGACAGAAGAACCCTATGGACAGGCGCTAAATGGGAGCAAAGCTGTCCCCTGTGATGCTCTGTGGAAGCTGTACTGTGAACACCTAGCCTGTCCTCCTTTCATGGAAGTCAGTCAGGGATTTCCTGAAACTTGCCAAATTCTTATCCCGGCCACGAGATGAGACAAAACCTCCAAGGTCCCTTTAAAGCTAGGAATTGTAATCATAACTGTATTTCAAGTAACTCATTTGATTTATAGGCATTACTTATGAGCTGTCAGAAACACACAACTGGCTAAGAGATGAAACTGATGTTTCTTACTTGGAAGTGTGAGCAATTTAATGCAGAAATTGTGTGCAGGCCGCCTAATAAATAAATTCTGAGCTAGGCAGACAAATTTCCTCAGGTACCTATGGTCACACAGGATGTGGCAGTATATCTAAGACATTTAGAGATGTCAAGCCTACTGTTTGAGCCTCGGCACTTAAGCCTTATGCAGAACAGTGACTACAGACCCCCAGGGCCTCTGATGCTATCTTCTTGTCATGTCTCCTTCTGTAATGCTGACTGGTCCACTCATCAGTGATATTTCCTGTGTCATCTTCTTTTAGGAGAACCCCAATGACCTGCGCTTTTGGCTGGGGGATATGTACACTCCAGGCTTTGACACTTTGCTGAAAAAGAAGAAGAAGCGCAACAAGCGATCAAAATTATGTCACATGGGTCTGATTTTACTCGTCGTGTCCTCCATCTTGGTTACCATAGTGACACTCAGCGCCTTATTCGCCTAAGAAAATTGCAGACGCTTCTTTAAAGCTCTCAAACGCCTTCTAAATCCTTACAGGGAAACCTGTCTGTGCGTTGCTGACTGTGTGAACTAAATACTGTTGTCCTGTAGCGTGTGAGTGAGCATCGCTTGTGGTATGCTGGCCTCTGCTTTGTTCCGTGAAACGTGTGTGTGATTCCGGCCTGAGGTTTGTGCTTTGTGACGCAGATGTTTCCAAGGACCACGGTCGGGAAAGCCTCTCCCTCCGTGCAACCACAACCAAGCTTTATGATAGCAGAGGGCATCAAGGACTGGCAGCTACTTGTCTCGGAGCTCATCTTGCTTATCCGGTTTTCACCGCACCATTCCTTCCTCTCCCCCTGGGCCCTGGGGAAGCTCCAGCCAATCTAGCCAACTGCTGGGGCAACGGGAAGGCTTCTGCTGAGCTATCAGTCAGTTTAGATGTGCTTTCTTTTCCTTTCTCTCTGTTGAAGTTAGAGGGGGAAAGAAAGTGGAAGGGAGACGACGGTCAAACCTATTCTAATTTCCCTACTAATCCTTTATAACGATCCAAATTTATGTTAGTGTTTTAGCAGAAATAAACTTGGTCAGCCGTTGGGGTAGAATCAATTCCATTGTACCCAGTTGCCTTTGTGGATTGGCAGGCACCAACAAGTGGGACCTCTAGTGGCAGTGGGTACATGCCCACCAGACATAGGGGGTGGGGACCTGGAGAGACTCCAGGAAAGCTGCCACCCCTGAGTATTCAGCTGAATGACAGTTAGGCCTGAACAAAAGATTGTGCGAGGAGGAAGCCAGCTTAAGGGAGAAGAGTGGCTGCCTCGTAACGGTAGCTTTTGCTTCAATGGGAATGTAATTTCCAGTGCTTGTTGACAGCCTTCTCCTGGGTGCAGGTGCCTGGGAAAAAGCCCCATGACACAGAGAATCACGCCTGCCCTGTCCTCCTCCCAGGAAAATCTTCCCTAAGGTCCTCAGTGTCACGCGTAGTGCTCTGTAGCATATGAAACAAGTCTTTTTCTTTTTCCCAAAGAGTGCTGTCCTCTTGTGCCCTTTGATAACGCCTTACCATCTCGCTGTATTGCTCATAAAGGTACTTGAACTAAGGTGTACAAAACCTAGAGTTTACTGGACAATAAATCATTGTGTACAAAGCAAAATTGGTCATACTGATCTTTGCACTGTGTGCCTTGCTATTCTTCTTTTTGCTGTGGGTTCCAGTTCAGGGCACAAAAATTGGCAGGGAAATGAAGGGGGCAGGGGTGGGGGAGTCCTCCCGATGCCAGGCTCACTCCCACTGTGGATGTCCTTAGACACTGCATGCTATCACTCTGTTCTCAAAGCTTGACTGCTCAGGGGTCACCGTGCATGGCAGTCATGCTGAACCGGGTTATTCGTGTCTCTACAAGACAAGGCTTGATGAAGCTTTCCAAACACATTGGGATGCATAACCGCCGAATGTGAAGGCTGCTCCTGTGAGCTCCTGGCCCGCCCAGCCCCCACCCAGCTCCCCTTTCTCCTTCCCCGTCAAGCACCTATGATTCCTCTACTCTCCAGCCTTCCTCTCCTTTTATTTATGATACCTTTGGACACTCATTTCTTCTGCATGAGTGAATTTATGGCTTTGCTTTTAAACCGATCTCCATTGCTAGGGTTCAGTGTAACTGGACTCAAAATACAATATTGTTCCTCCCTGAATTAATGGTATGTGTCTGCACATAAGGGAAAGTCATAAGGGGAGTGTGTTCTTGTTTGCATGCAAATTTATAACTTGCATGCACTTCTAATTCCCCTTGTGAAAAAAAAAAAAAAAAAAAAAAGCTCCAGCAGGGGGAAAAAAAAGTGTAAGGTCATTGAAAGGACAGCAGTAATGGCTCGGTCCAGACTTATGTTCAAATCTGGGCTTGCCTGGGAACATCTGACCCAGGTCCACTGTTTTTTGTTTTCTTTTTCTTTTTCTTTTTTTTAAAAGCTTTTTAAAATACAACTTTCCGCACACAGCCCTGGTCAATAAATAATATGTCCCTTTGTCAGGACCACCGCTTTAGTCTCTTTCTTAACCCCTAAATTAGGTTAAGAAAATCTGAGTGCCTAAGTTCTTAATAATAACATAATAATTACATTTTTAAAAATCCCTTTTATGATTTGGAAGGCTCCTCCACAAAAGCAGGCTTTCTTGTTTGTGTTTTATTCCTGCATGGTAAGTTACTGTGTTGAAATCCTATAAGCTAATAATGTCACAATTTTCAGGAAAAAAAAATTGGAATGTTTACACTTTTTAAAAGTGCTGCTCTCGGACATAAACAGAAAGACTGAAACTTTTTTTTTTTTCATCTATGAACAGATTTTCTTTTCCCTAATTATATTCCGGTTGCTGCCACCTAGTGGAAACTTTAACGAGTGGCGTGTGGGGACGCAAGGCTCCAGGGCTCCTCCGTTAACTAGAGCGAGCTGCTGCCCCCTGAAGGTCGCATTGATGAAGCCTGCGCGCATGCCGTGAAGAAGAAACGGGCCCCGCGCAGGTACCTAAGGGGCTGGGAGCTCGCTCTGCCCTTTGTAACGCCGATTTTTGACAGTGTCTCTTCCTTCTAGAAAAGGCCTGTGACTGGGCGTGAGTCACGTTGACAAAGACAGAGCGAGAACCTCGGAGTAGACTCTACATCCCTTGTTTGTGTGTTGGTAGCTGTCTATATTAGGGGAGTCTTTACTAATTTGTCTGTCTATCTATCTATCTATCTATCTATCTATCTATCTATCTATCTATCTA